GTGGAACGTAGTGGGCATTCAGCATGTTAATTCTCTTCATCCCTTCATTGCATTTACCATTCATGTGAAACCTAGAGCAAAGCCCCCATGCCCCCTCCCCCCAAGATAGCTTCTATGGAGAAAAACTAATTTGACTGTTTTATATTCCAACTTCATGAACTAGTAGTTCAGAGAGAGAATTCATTTCCCAATTAAAAGCAACTTCTGGATTTATCAAGACTAACCAAAGAGTAATTAAACTCCTAAATATAGCTGAATACAAGATTATTGCCTAGGCCGGCATTATAACAATATGATTAAGAATTATCCACAGAACACAAAAAAGAACTGTCTATGTTAGAAGGTCTTGGTCTTTATCCATCTCTTTTTATGCTGAAATGGTTTAAGTGTCAGGTTCTCATTGGCCATAACCTCCTGCTTAACACATACCATTAGCTGTGCTAGGCCTTTTACACACACCATCCTATCTGAGGAAAGAGTGAAGAAACAAAATGGAGTCACCATAGCCAAGCTAACAAAATCACTTAAATCAGAAAGGGCTGAAACAAGAGGAATCGATTTTATATTACTTTAACTAGCCTGAGGACTTACACTTTTGAACTTTTCAGTTGTGCATCAATACATGAAGATATATATCCTATAGATAACCCTCTGAAGAACTTAGGAAATAATGTTCACAAGTCCAGACTACCTGACATCCAATATCCAGACCACCAGATATCTGGAAGATTACCATCTCAGACCAATCCAGAGGCTAAGAATGTAGGATTCATCTTCACAAGAATGTACATTTTTACTATAAGAATTCTAAGCTTTTCTCTTTTCTTTGGAACACTCTGGGTGTTACCTAGTAGTATCCCACAACTGGCAAATCTTAAGACCCTTGAATAAAACCTTGTCATTTAATTCTAGTGAAGCCTCCTGATTCATATACTCTTGGTTGACACATTTATGGTGTCAAGAGTGGGATCCAAAGAACTCTCCACTTCCAGTCAAGCTGTTGAATTCAAGCAAGGTACCAGCTTGAGCCCTTTGTGCTCTGTCATCTCCCTGACAGCTCCAGGGTTCCAGCGTTGGGTCCTCTTGGTTCCAAACCTCCCTCCTTTGGTTCTTGGGTACTCTAGTAACCAGATTTATAAAATTTGTGTTGTCCTGATCAAATATATAGTGATGGAGGGGAACTGACTCTGGGTGGTGAACACACAATGTGATATATAGACGATGTATTACAGAATTGTACACCTGAAACCTATGTAACTTTACTAACAATTGTCACCCCAATAAACTTTAATAAAAAAAAAAAGCAAGTTTTGCTAATGAAAGAGCAGTAAAGAAAAAAAATTTTTGGATTGTCTTTCTAGTCTGTAATATGGGGTGCTCTCTTTCTATGGCTGTTATGGAGGGACAACCCTATTCTGGAAACACCGGCTGGATTTATTTATCTCGATGGACTTCTAATACAAAGGACGATTTGAAATTACAGTGGCCAATCTGCGAACTGTCAAGATTCTGAAATTAGTATATTTATGTGCACAATTAGAGAATCTTAGAAATGTTCAACAAGCTGAATGGGAAGCATTTTTCAATCAGTGTTCAAAGGCCTCTCAGAGATTAAATGATTCAAAGATAGCCTCCCTCCAAGAAACAAATTCTGGGGCAGCCGGTTAGAGCACAGGCTCATAACACCAAGGTTGCCAGTTCGATTCCCACATGGGCCACAAAGCTGCACCCTCCACAACTACAGTATTTCCCCACGTATAAGACGCTCCCGTGTATGAGAAGCACCTTAATTTGGGGGCCCGAAATTTGAAAAAAATTTTATTAGATAAAGTTATTGAACTCAAGTTTTATTCATCATAAAATTCATACAACTCCTCATCACTGTCAAAACTCCCAACCNCCTTGAATCCACATCTAGGATCAAGACCTCAGCCTCTTTCTGGGATTCAAATTCATGGCTCATGTCTTTACTTCTTATCTTTGCAGCCCCATTATTAATATAATCAACTTACTAACTAAATTTATCTCTTCTAGAATAGAGGCTATAAAGCTATAAATGTTTGTCATGAACAACTATCAATCCCCGGGACCCCATGCTCCAGACACCTATGGTGGACCTATGGATGGACACTTCCCTCCGCCTCCTCCGATCAATAGTTAGCAAGCAGATGGAACCCAAAGAAGTCTCAACGTCCCTTTACAGCAGGAAGCAGCCAGAACAGTCATGGCCCCAAAGGCCCCAAAGATTTGGGTTCCTGAAGCTTGAGGGGGAAAATGTTAGGTAGAAGTTAGAAAATGGAGGAGGAGGAGGAGGAGGAGGAGGAGGGGTAGGAGGGGGTCCATGGCAACTACAGAAAAAGCTCATAATTAGCTTTGATTAACTGCCTCCAGCCACTATCTGTTTTTATAACACATGACAAAAGATGGTCTGGAGCAAGATAAGGATCTGAGTCACCAGACCTCCACCCATCTTAGGAAGTCACACTCTCCATGCACCACCTTTTCCTGCTAAATCATGATGTAACTCCCTCACCCCACCCAGCAAACTATAAGTCCTTGAGACAAGAGTTCTCGCGCCCTTTTCCTTTTTGCTCCGGCTCTGGCGCACACGTTCTCCCGCTCTCACCTCGGCTAGGCTAGGCCCATTCTCT